GTGTTCCACACTGTGCATTCTCAAGGCGTTTCCATACACGAGACAAGCATGACATTTCGAAAAGGAGAAGTTCATTTGGAATGTTACAGCAAAGTACATAGGAGAAATACAAAAAAGAGAAGTTCCTATAATGTCTTAAGCTGTCAGCAGTTTTTACCTCTGTTCTATCTCTCACCCACGCCTGGCTTCCTGTGCCCCTCCTTTACAGGGTCTTGCCACACTGTTCAGCCCTATTTTTAATACTTATGAGGAAGTTGGAGAGAAAGTTCACTCCAGCTAAAAGTCAACTTTGGAACTCCAGGGCACTAGAATGAAAAGCCAAACTAATATGAATTTATAAGGTCCATTCTATTAACAACACCTAACCTGGCCAGCACTGGTGGGTTTACCTGTACACCCCCTCTTGCATCAATCCAAGACACATCTTCTTGAAAAAGCATCTTTGGGACAACCATGACTTATTCTGTGCCTCCTGAGGAAAATGGGGATTTTGCAGTATCCTTCCCCTGTCACGCCCACCAAGCCATGCCATCCCCACCAAGCCACACCCACAAAATTTCCGGAGGAGTCAAAGACTTCCTGTCCATAGAATCCAGAGGGGCATTGCTAACAGATGACATATTATATAAACAGATGACAGATATATATTAGGGAAACGCACCTAGGAATTGTACCATGGATTCTCTGCTAGATTTTAGTTTTCTAGCACAAAATATCTGAAAAGGTATACTCCATAGATCATGGTAGAGCAATGTCATTGATGTCATTAAGAAACCACCTGCCAGTTTGAGAAGTGCCGTTTATTCCCTGATTGATCAATTATTTTCTTGGTGAAAATACAGGACCATATGCTAAGTTGCAGCACAGAAGAATTATTCGATTTCCTCTAAAAATTAAAATACAGGAGTGGTTTACCAGGGCTTTCTCAGGCACAAAGAATCAGAAATACATCATTGCTATAGTTAAGATTTATTGCCCCAACCTATAGACAAGGAACTAGTCTACTAAATTTCAAGGCCAAATTGGTGCCACATAAGAGTCAACATAATTCAAGAGGGGTTGGACTTGAATTGTTTGTGGCAACATAAGGACTCTAAACTGATGATACATTTAACTCCACCCCCAACTCTGCCTAATCTTCTCCTGCATGCCTTTTTTTGTCATGCAGTGTTGATCTGCATCTGGTTTATTCCTTAATCAGAGACATTTGACATTGACCTTGGCTTAGGACACACAATTTTGCTCCGTATCTATCCAGAGTTTAGATTTTGGATTATTAAGGGTGATATCTCTGGGATGAACTGTTTAACAACAGCACCCACAGGAATGTTGCTTTTCAATTTATTTATCAGTTTGGGAAATGTTGATTTTCACCAAAAATATGGAAATCAGATCTGATTCAACAAAGACAAAAGTGCTTTGTGGGTAATTGCTTTTGGGATTCTGTTGAATAGAAAATGAAAAAGTTTTAAATAGCA